AATAATAGATCACCATGAGTGGCTCGCACTAATCTCCACCTGCTGCAGGCACAGCCAGGCGTTTGTCGGTGCAAGGCTGCCCTCTTGCGTGTGTCGAGACAACTGCAACTCTCCTAACCTGATGTCATTGATTTGGGCTTTTTTTTTTTTATCTGACTCTTAATTTTCTTGACCTCTGCACATGTTTAGTCGTTGGATCTCTAAATAAGGTGTTTGTTTTTGTTGTTTTTTTCTTATTTATTTAAACCAAATGGGGTAATTATTTCAAAATAAAAATAATTTAAAATATAATTTTAAAAAATCACGCAGTTCGAGAATTAACCTACATTTTATAAAAGAGTCACAAGATTTATTAGTTGCCATTTAGATGTATAATTGAACTGTGAAATTTATGTTCAATGTTTTACTTTTTACTAATATGTTCATATTTTTTTTAATAACAACATCTTTTTGGCAAGTGCACATTTTTGGAGGGCAGGTGCAGATGTCAGGGGGCAGGTGCAAAAAGGTTGACCTCAAGGTTTGATTCCAACCCAGAGTCACGTGCTCCTATCTAATACAGTATCTGCTTTAAAAAAAAAACTTAAAAAAAAACAAATATATAATGTATTTATTGGCCTCTGTCCTTAACTCCTTTTTCATTTACAAAAAACAAATGCAGTTCACAATGAAGTCAGAATCACAGTCAGAGGTCAGAGGTCAGCTGCCCTCTGCTCACTGCGGTAATGGGTCAAATTCAGAGGTCATATTTCGTTGTATCATAATAACAAACAAAAAACACTTTCAAATTCAATTTCACTTTCAGAAAATACTGCCCTCTTGTGTAGAATCTATGTAATGCACGTCTTCTAACACGATATACTAATGCGCGTTTATTGTTTAGAAAATTGTTTAATTTTCTTAATCTGTTCCCGCTCATCTCTAATCGTGTCAGCCATCTGCCATGACTCTGAATTGGCTGTAATTTGTTTTCATTTTGAGAAAACGTTCCTTGATTTACGTCGAATCGAAATATAAAATTATTATTTTAAAATATCTCGATAAATAAATCGATTTAAAGTGTCAGAAATGATTCATTGCGTCTCCACTGTCAGGAGAGACAGTTGCAAGGTCATGAAAGCTATAGTTCTCCCTTTTGGCCGGTAGATGTCTCTGTTTGGTGAGAAATTGATTTTTTTCCGAGGCTTCCACGGAGCAGGTGCTTCACTCGGGACTTTCACTCGCCACTGCGTGTATCACAAAACGTTCGAATCCTCCCCCTCACATGTTCCACCTGCACGCTGCAGCTGCACTGGCTCTAAATATGGGATATGTGGATGAATAATAGATAGCCAATCAGAGAGGACAAGGAGCCGGCGCTGCGCACGCGTATTGGCCCTCCGTGCCGTCAGTCAGAGAGGTCGCTCACAGGAGAGCTGTGGCTGAGCTGTGATTGTGGGCACGGATCTGCTGTGCCACGAAATGGGGCAGATGAGTGTTGGTCTTTGACGAAGTGCCGCCGTGACAGCACCTGCCGCAGGTGAGTGACCCACTTAGAGCCTCGTATTTAGTGTAAACTGGAGCGAATCCCGGGCGAAAGTGGAGTTTATTTCCTTTTTCTTTTTTAAAAAATATGCGATTAATTTGAATGGAGATAAACACTTGTCGAGCAACAACAGTGTTTACAGCACTTGACTAAAAAAAAAAAGCGCCCGTATTTTTTTTTATTTATTTATTTTTTATTTTACAAAAAAGAGCAGAGATTTTCACTGGCAGTGACCAGGATGGACAGTAACTCATGTTTCCAAAAAACCTACAGGATGTAACTGACCAATCTGAACTGACCATAGATATCAATGGCAATGGTAGTCTCTACAATGTAGAGACTACCATGTAGAGTCTACCTATGATTGTGTGTGTGTCTCAGAGAGAGAGAGAGTTATGATTGTGTGTGTGTGTGTCTCAGAGAGAGAGAGAGAGTGAGTGTGTGTGTGTGTGTGTGTGAGAGAGAGAGACACCGACAAAAATGTATGCAGCAGTTTTGTTTTTCCTGCTTATACAGCAGAGCAGGACAGTGGCAGGAAAGTTATTAAAGGGCAGGGATTAAATGTGCAGAAAGGTCAGCTTTACTCTGTCAACTGTTCACTTTTGTAATTTTACGTATACGCAGGCCCTGCTTCTGTGAGATGATTAGTTTGCGATGTTGACCTGCAGCAAAACTACTCTGCATTTTAGCTTGGTGTTTCTCAAAAGATGGGGTCGGGACCAAAAGAGTTCGTTTGCATTTTTGTTTCAGATTGTGCTAATGGGTGGTTTTGTTTTGTTTGTTTTTTCATTATTAATCACTAGATGGACTGTAAGATGATTTGATGTTAGATGATGAAAACATGTTGGTTGTTAGTGCAGGGTTAATGCCCAGAAAACAGTTCTCTCAGTCTCTAGACATTCACAGAATATCGTTACAAGTGCACTGCAACATTGTCACTTCCTAATAAGACACCACTGTTGTATCTCATTTAAATTTTAAATTTTAAAAAATGGTCAGACCTGGCTTCTACATATCTCTGTGTGAGGTACGTTCTGGTCGGTGAATCAATGATTCAGTCAGACATCATGTGCGTCAGATTGTTGTTTTTATAGAGACTAGTTTTTTTTTTTTGGATAAACAATCCTGATTGAATCAAGAAGCATGGTCTGAGGAGCCGCGGCCTGTCAGGTTTTATTTTCTGTACTGTGTCACAAATCTCGTGGTCTCAGATCTAAATGTATAAAGGATCACGTATTCATGATGATAAAACTCTGAGAACAGAGACGTGTGACAGGAGTTAACAGGATTCTTTGCCTTGGTTTCATCATAAAATCCATGAAAAACAAACTAAACCTAAAAACCAAAACAACTAACATTTCCCTTTTCACCAAAACATATGTTCACTTCTTGTTTCCAATTCTTGATTGCGTTTGGGAGTCTGTCTGCTTCCGACTCTTTTGGTCCAAACTGTTGTTTGTTTCCCGATAGAAGCAGAACATATTATTAGAGAAGTTATTGATTGTTGGATAGTCGGACTGAGGGAAAGTGAGAGGAGAGAACGTTCAGCTCCTGCCTACGTATTATGTACCAACACGTATTATGTACGTTTTTGCCCAGTATCGTATGTAACCAGTAAATCTGAAACATTTCAGACCCTGTTGTCTAACCCTATCATTTACATATCGTTTGTTTATTTCTGTCTTTTAAATAATAATATTTAGAATTTTTAAGTACTCCCGGTCTTCAGTGTAAACTTGCAAAGCTAACAACTAAATGCTAATCAAAATGGAAAATAGTTTTCTTCAACCAAAGCTTGCAGTATTTTAATTTAAATGACTGTGTAGTACTTTTCTTTTAGTACTATGCTGCCCGTAGTACTACAGACAAACGTTCACAGGCTCAGCGACTGTAACGTGCTCCTTTCTCTCTGACAGCACTCCAACAGTCCAGGTGATGACTTGCCAGGCCTCACCCACACCTCCCAGTCACTCAATCTGGGGACTGACCACTTACTGGGTGTGCTTCACTGATTACTGCAGTACCCTATAATGGAGGGCACACACACCGTCCTGGTCCTGTACGCACCCATCCACGAGCTCTGCAACATCAGCCTGTATTTTCCAAAGAGGTGGACCCCTGGCTTTAAGTACAAGAGCCGTGCCTCCATTTCCGAAGAGGCTGGTAATGACCGTGAGCAGGAAAAGGAGGATGTGTCCAGACAAAGAGTCCAGTCTTCTGCCTGCTCAGGCAGACTCCTCTACTCCCGGCAAGCAACAAAGGAAGCTGTTGCGGAGCTCAGCTGGCTCGCGGCGGAGCACCACCAGTTGCTGGTGGACCTTCTGTCGCTGTGTCGGGATTGTGCCAGCAAAGTAAGGATGGGCAATCAGGATGGGAAGGTGCAGGACTACGTGGAGGGTCAGAGATTTCAACCTGCAAGTCACCACGTCTCCAGCAGCAGCCGAGGTACTCCTGCGTCTTCAGATCATAAAAAGGCTACATCCAAGAGCAGGAAGATGAAAAAGCTTGGAGGAAAAAAGCTCGACAGTGCTGAGGATTTACTGCACAGTAAGATGAAGAAGCAGATCACAAGTGCTCCTCTGGGTTCTGCTTGTCCTCCTCAGAACGCAGTGCCAGCTCCTGCTGTCTCGGTAGCGGAGCGTGCTGCAGTTCCTCCGGCTGTTGTGGAAGTCTGCGATAGTCCAGCCACGGGGTCTTATGTCAGTGCTGTCAGTAATCCTATCCTGCCCATGGAAGAACCTTTTCAGATGAGTCGAGAAGCATGGGACTTCATGGAGGACAACCGGACCTTTGACCCCGACATGTACTTCTGTAATGACTTTTCTGAGTATGACAGTGAGCTGGGTTTTGAGTCTTCATCTTGCAGTCTGATTGAAGGACTGTCCAGACGAAATAGTGGGAGCAACCTGCGACCAATTAGGAGGTTTGATTCTCCGCTGGACACCTTATCTGAAGGTGCATCATCGATCAGGTCCGGTGACCAGTCATGTAACGACGATCTAAAGAACACAGGGGTCAGGGTGGTGGCCAAGCTGCAGGACGTGGCAGGGAAAGTGCAGCACGTCGGCCAGAACAGCCCAGACGGACAAGACCAGCTGCTCGGAGTGGGTAGAGAAAAGACAGGAAACAGACAATGTGAGGGACTGTGGCTGCCCCTGTCCAACACCAACAGTCTCTCATGCTCAACTAAACCTCACCTCAGAAGCCCCACTTCCTCCTCTTTGTCCGGGGTCTTTAACACATCCTACCCTACCTCAAATAGCCTCCAGAGCATGTCCCCGGTCCTGTCCCCTCTGCCCTCTAAGCAGGGCAGCCCACAGTTGAACCACCGCATTCTCCTGCTGTGTGATAAAGACGTGGATTCCGACCCCCAGGGCAACATCGACGAGCCCAAAATCTACACCGAGATCATCGACAGGAACGGCAACAAGCGCACGATCACCCGCCTGGATCTAAACCTGAGCAGGCGGCCCAGCAACGCCAAGTGGAATTCCTCAAGCAACTCCACCACAACAGGTGAGTTTTAAGACATCACTCGTCTCACACAGTACTTTGAACACAGTGATTCACGGGCAGACTCACTGCTTTGACATCCAGCTTTGATCAACTCAGATACACAAACCACTTGTCATAAAATGGCCGTGATTTGGTGCATTTTTCTTTGTGATAAAAGAACCAGAAGCTCCAAGAGAGATTTTTTTTTTCCGTGTCTCTTTAAGGACCACTGCCTGAGCTTCAGCTGGATTTCTCCGGCAAGTATTCAGCAGTGTCGCACTCTGTTTTGCATAACGTGTGTGTGTGTGTGTGTGTGTTTTTGCCCAGAGTTAGAGTTTAACTACTGCGTTCTCATCTCGCCTGGCACATAACCACAAATCAAAACCTACCCAGGAGGGTTGAACAAGGGTCAACTCTGGGCCTGAGAACGGTTTCACTGATGATCCATGTATAACTCTGTCAGTGTCTCTGTCACAGCAAAGGAGGATTAGTGGGAGTGTCCCGGATCAAAGGCTTTAGATGGACACATTGTGAATTAACCCCACTTTTATTCCTGAGCACAGAGTTAACTGAGGCATTACCAATTTGGATTCTTGAGGGACCGACTATCCCTCCCCTAAATCCACATCCTAACCTCTTTCACAACTAGCTGACCAAGGATTACGGACCAAGTCCAAACAAAGGATTAGAAAATCCTTTCAGGCCAAAGTCTCTTGCTCTAAAATGATAAATTTTGTGAGTTTTTTCTCCTTCATTTATTCGGTCCTTTAAATCTAGTTGTAGTGCCTCGTTCTGAGGTACAAAATCACTGTTTCCTATCGATCTAATCCTATAAGATGTAGAGAAAACTTTTCTCCACAAGATTAACAGTGTTCATTAACTGACAGCTGGTCATGGTTAGTTAAACATGTAGTTTACCCCAGGGCTAAATATGGAGCTCTCTGCTGGATAGAAGAATGAATAACACGGGTTTACTCATCTGACAGTAATTTTAGATCAATGCGGGATGAAACGACACTGTCCCCGTGTGTCCTCCCACTTCAGCATTCACATGGATACAGAGCAGTAGAACAAGACACTGGAACCTTTACATCACAGGTTACCAACTATATTTGAATTTTTTTTAGGACTGGAAACTCAAATAAAAAGAAATAAAAATCATATTTTTGTCCAACATTATGATTTGATTGTTTATGCTGAATTGGACGGATTGGACAGTTTGTCAGATCAAACTCAGTCCATGGGCATTTGTTTTACGTGGAAACACATACTTCACACGGGCTGCTGGGACGTTTGCATTTGTCATCTTTAAATCCATTTAAAGATTTACTGCTCAATAAGAATAAAAGCCTTTGCTGTCGATTCCGTTACATGCTGTGCTTCATATATCTGACACCACAGGGCACTGGCTGGGATTGATAATCTTTTTGAGATACAGTGTAGGATGTAGTCGCACATGAGCAACTGCATCTGTATGTTCTTTACTGCTCAGCCTCCCTCCTAACCACAGTCCTTCTGTCTCATCCTTCTGTCCTTTTTTGCTGCGTCTTGAATGTTAAATGAAAAGGCCTCCATGTCGCTTCATAATTGAATACACTTCAAATGCTAACAAAGATAAATGAACATCACAGGGTCCAGCCGAAAGGACTAAGTGGGTCAGTGTGAAGCTCAGCCCTTCATGGTTTGCAAATGTCAGATTAATTATGATCTGGGCTCTTTAATCTATTCTTTGTGCTTATTAAAACATGCTAATGGAGGAGCGGCTAGTTACCACAAGGGGGAGAAATACAGTTGTCTTTTTGTTTAATTATATTTACTCAACCTTTTGTGCTGTAACTTTAAATATGTACTTTCAAAATGTCGTAGCATAGACTCCTACCATAGACAGGAAAATATCAACACTGCTTTCAAATTTGCTCTGAATTCCTAAGGATTCCAGCAAAGAGACAAATATGAAAATGGAAATAACCACCACATAAACAATCGCAGTTCTGCTAAAGTTTCTGTCGGAAAGCAGCAGTACAAACATCCATCATTCACCTAGAGAATATTCTGCTCAAATGTTCATATGTGAACAGCAGTGTCTTGATGCAGCCATCTTCCTGCCTTCTTCCTGTTTGCATACTTTCACTCTTGACTTACATATTTCTTTTATGACATGTGGTGGGCAACGCTGTAATCTGATTACTCATTACGGTCCAGCGAGGTCATATGAAACTGATCAGCAAAAGTGCATCGACCTCTTCTCCCCGTCGCTCAACACAAAGCACACTGCCAAGCATAGTTTTGTTTCGTCCAATGAGGACAAGAGACTGCTCTATTCAGATAATGAAGCAGTTCCTGCCAGAACAGGCTACAAAAACTTCCCTCTCCTCTGACTCTCTCTCTTTCTCTTTCTCTCTATCCCACTCTCTCTTGTCCTTCTTTGCTTTACTTCGTCTCTGCACTTTACTCACAGTGAGGCCCAGTTGTCTTTATCATACCTGTGGCTCTTGATAAACAGCAAAGTGTCTCAAAGCTCTGAGAAAGTACCTTTAATTGTGTTCAAACTTATAGCTTCAGGTGTTGGCAGTACCGGTAATTACAGCTTTCAGCAGTGTCTTATTTGTTAAAAAAGACTGTAATTTCCAGATAGTAATTTATGCTATTTTCAAACGTAAGTGTGACTAATATCATTGTTTGTCAACTTTTTTTTCAAGCCACAGCCCATAACCACTAAAGAAAATTGACACAGAAAGTATACGTACTGAGAGTTAATAATCCTTTAGTTTCATTTTCTCACAACTTTTTTACTCTGTTTAGTCGAACACAACACTGATATAGCTGCAGGAATTGAAGAAAGATGAACACAAAGATCCATTCAGACCATTTAAGTGAAATTAGATAGTTTTCCGTGGTACACCTGATGCACTTTAGTTAGGAATTACAGCCTTATATAAACTAAAATACACCCCACATCATCTGTGTCCACCAGAGGGCACTGTCTACAATCCTGCAAACTAGCAATAGCTACTGTGCCACTGGAAATTACTCAAATAAAGCCGTTGTTACAGAAAACAAAAATAAAATGGAATCGCTATATGGTCGGACATGTTAGGATACTTTAATATTTTTAGCCTATGTTTCTTAGGCTACTGAGTAGATGGATATGAATCGAATGTTAGTTGTTATGAATAATATTTTTTAAATAAATGTGATTTATAGACCAGACATTTCATGACCCATTTTTGCCATTCTTGGTTAGTCTAGTAATCTAGACCACTAGCAGTTACTTAACTGCTTAGGTTACATCTAGTAGTAGACTGCAACACTGTGAAGCATACTGTATAAACCCTGTCTGTCAGCCCATGGCTTGCCGTGTTCCCTAGTCCTATTATCCAATCAGCCTTCAGAACTGCATTTCCAGTGAGTAATGGCCACCATCATGTCAATCTGCGTCCCTGCAGCCGACCCTCGGGCCACCGCAGCACTCCTTCCTGTGCCTGTCCACTTGTGTCTGCCTTTATTTACATGGACCTCAGGGCACGCAGCCAAACCAGTCAATCAGCCAGTCAGCCCCGACGGCCGCACACAGCCGACGAGCTGCAGCCGCAACAGTCGGAGAACCAGCAGGCTGATTTGACGGCTCTTAACATGTCAATGGGTTTATTTGTTTGTTTGTTTTCTTTTATTTAAATGTGCATGTCAGCAACTTGTTAACTAGTTGTTAAAATATTTGTATAGATGTAAAACAAATATTTTCGAAATAGCGCAACCAAGGCTAATGACTGACCTTTAGTAATGTTTGTGTATCTTAAGGTATCTAGTAAAAAACAGTAGAGGAAAAAACGTTTTCATTTGGGCTTATTTAGGAATTTGTACCTGAGATACATAAAAGTTCAACGGGAGGCAAATTAAAATCAATGTGGTAGCTGGTCTGGGTTTTTCAATACTACCAAAGGCTCATCATCCAAACCCTAATAGACTGCAGGCAAGAATGTTTGGTAGATCAGAGCTGAGTGAAAATAACTCCAGTTCACAATATACAGAATATGGATGTTTTTACATAATACACAAGTATATATTTTCTATTATAAAACTTCAGTGTCGGTAGAAAAAAACAAACAAATCTGCTGCCTCACAGCAAAGCCACTAGTTTGCATTCAACCTGGAACACATGACTTTTCCAGGTGGAGCTTGCGCTCATATTGACAACAATAATTGTTATATTTACTTCTGTAAACACAACGTGTGACATCATCTTCAGAGAACATAGGTCACCTCAGGGACATAGTTCTTTCAAACTGGAGTCTGATAGCGGTGACATTAATGTGAACAACCGTGCAGCAAAATAATAACCGACAAAGACTGGTGAGTTATTAAACCTATCGTACCTAATTATCTGGTGATGTAAAGCAAACAAAGTCATTTCTATAGCCCGCCATGCTGATTCCAGTTTCAAGACCAACTCTGCTGTTACTGGTGTTTGTGTTTGTGTCTGCTGCGGTTGTGTTGAGTGCAGCTGCTGCAAGGCTTTCTCTGACCGCCGCATGAGTAATGACAAGCTGACAAAGTCCTAGGTGGGTTAATCCATCACATCTGACACGCCCACCTCTCAGTATCAGGCACTAATATTGCCTCCGAGCCGTGCCAAACAAAGATGGGCTATTGTAAATATGACTGTGCTTATATCCCCACTGAAACACCCACACTGCCTGGCAGCTGCTCACTGACACGCTGTGATTTTACTGTCAAATCATCATCACACTGTCACTCAACACCTGCAGATTTGCTCCAAGGCTTTTGAGCCATGGGTTATATTTTACATTTAAAAGAAATCCCACAGTGCAAAACCAAACAAAATGTCACTAACGTTTATACCGAAACGTAATGATCTCCTAGTTTCAGTTTACTCACAGTTTAGTTGTTTAGTTAAACACAGCACTGATACCCATGCAGGAATTGAAGAAAGATGCATAGAAAGTTCTTCAACAGCTCTGAGTCTATGTTTTTTGTTTTGCTGCTGCCACTTAATGGGTATTGTTCTTAAAAAAAAAAAAAAAAAATTTATGCCAAGAAAGTAAAATTGGATGATTTTCCACAGTACAATGTTGATCTCTCGTGACACTAATGTGCTGCAGTCCAGTGGTTGGGAATCACTGATCTGAGGCAACACCTGCAATATACCTGGAATAAAGTCTCCATTTAATCATGTTGATTTGCTTAAAGTTGCCAGATAAACACAATCCCACCTGCACTCTGTTCTGTCTGTCGTGGATAATGTGATTAATTCTAGGCTGCAAACACGGCAGGAAGTGGACAATGGATGGTAATAACACGGAGTCCTTTCACTGGCCTTAAACTTCAGCTCAGTGTCTGCATGTCTGGCTGTAAATTTTGAATGTGGAGCCTTGAATCAAGATGACTACATTGCGGTGTTTTGCATTACTTTACCCCCCACCCCCCACCCCACCCCTCCACTACTGCTGCAGAGTAACTGTGGCAGGACTTACACTGCAGTGTGTGAACACAGATTAATACATGCATTTACTCTGCCTGTCAGATGGTGGCAGCGTGGGACACTTGATGCATGTTAAAATCAAATGACGCAAGTTGACTTTTAAACAAATGTTATTTGTTTGTGGAGCAACTTCAGCAAAAAATGTAATTATATTTGGGGTTTGTTTGGTTTATTTATCTTTTTTTTTTTTTGTATTTTGTAGTCTTGTCACGGGAGAGTGTTTTGTCATTGATTTTTTGGCACAGACTGAATTTAGCTCTACATTTGGAATTATCCCAGACTATAGTCAGCAGTAGTACTGCAGTACAGCATTATCATACTGAAAAGTAAATTAAAAAAAACAACACAACAAGAGGGCTTGATTAAGTTACAGATGAGGAAGTGTATTACTAAATCTCTATACGTTTACTGTGAACCACACGCTGCCAGTTACAACCATACGTGTGTGTGTGTGCGCAGGTCTGCATCTGTGGTCTCTGATAATTCAATTAGAAGCATTCGACTGAGCCTCATGATGAATTCATTGAGGTGCAGTTTGGCTACAGTACAGTAAGATCCTGTGTCCTCTTGAAGGATACTCATTACCCACTGAGGTTATAGGATATTTCAGTCTCTCATCCAACAGGATGTGATGGGCATTTCTCAGTTTCCAGTTGATAATTTTGCTCCTGCAGGTGGAGGTGTTGTCTTACAGCTGAAGGGAAATTAAGGTCAGCGGTCTTCAGGATTTGCACACTCATCCTCCACGGATGCTCCAGTTTTCTGTACATTCTATTTACATTTTTACTGTCTTTTTTTAAATATAGATTTTTCTCTCATAATTTATTGAATATGTGCATCTTTGTGTGTAAGTCTCGGCTGTAACTGCACATGTGACCCATATCTCCAGCTGCAGCTTGAAGCTAATTTAACATGAATTGTTCAGGTCGTGAGAAATAGAACAACCACTCAGCTGGTTTATCCTCTTAAAAGGGAGGGTTTTTTTTTTCTCTTCTCCCCAACGTTGCCAGAAAGCCATCAATGTGTGACTTTTATCCTACTTTACAATGCATTGTTATTTTGAACTCAGTATAAACATTGACTGCATAAAGTTTAATTACAATTTTTATTTCAAAAGTCTATGGAGACAAATGTGTTTTGTGAGTTTATGCTATACAAATAAAATTTGACCTTTTTTTGTTTGCATTGTGATGACGAGCAGTAAATAATGTTTGACCTTTGACCAAGAAGGGAGGGACCTTTTGTCTGCATTGTGATGACGAGCAGTAAATAATTAAGTTATTGGTTTCGTTAAAAAATGAATTAAATTGACTCCTTCTTAGTGTATTGCAGCGAAAGCAGCACAATACTTCTCAGAGGTGATTGAAACTATAATTATGTTATCGGATTAACTCTGTTGTCACTGTGGTCCAAATGTGGGAGTGTATGTACATATTTGGTCAGAAGAGGGCAGTCTTTCTCTATCTCTGGCTCTCTGTAGAACGGGATGAAGTTTTTCCAAATATCCATGTCTTGTTTGGTATTAAATGACCTGTATTAAATTGATATCTTGAAAGTATTTGTACTGAATATTAGACAGTTTTGTAGTTTTTTGGCTTCCTGTTAGTCAGCACGGCGCAGATAAAAATAGTTGTTTATTCCTCGTCTCTGCAGGAAACTGATCTTGCATAGTTTAAAAATAACCGTACGATGTTTTACAGTCTCTCGTGCACCTACTTCTCTGTGTATCACTGCATTAACCAACCCAGATTACACAAGCACATGCTGTTATTTTTGGCCGTTGCTCACCAGGGAGCGGTAATTACCTTGTGGTTCCCTGTGTTCGTGTAGACGAGTCCCTCTTGCGTCAGGATGATATCTGGATGCTGGATGCCGATGACTCCCAGGAGTCCATTTCACGCGTCCCCCGCCCAGACCACCTGGACTTCCTTCGCATCACACCGCCAGAGGATGACATCATCGGGGACACACCTTCCTATCCCAAACTGGAGTGCACGGTGAGGGAAAAAAACCAGAAACACCAACAACTTAATTAATGTCAATTAATTTTAATAATGTGTCACCTAAGAGACAGGACAAACAAATACAACTCAGTTAAATGACATGAGCTCAAAATACGAGATACACAATAATAATACGAAGACACAGAAATGTGTAAAAATAGAACAAACCGATTATATATATACAAACCGAAAATATATTTATCAAATTAGAAAATTGAACTGTTATTACAAACCTGTTTTGTCAACATATCCTTCTATTTATCTTTAATTCTCATTTTTCATTTTCTCATTTCTAATTCTTGTCTTTTACACCAGGTCAACTTAAATTAATTAAAGCTTTAGTTTCCCGGGAATTATTTTGTTTGTGCTGCTGGTCGTGTGCCTTTTAGTTTATTTTTTAACATCGTTTTTAAGTGTCTGCTCACTTTTGGAAATGTGTGGTGTCCAGTTAAAAAGGTATTTATGTTACTCAATTTGATTAGATATTAAAATATCTGTTTGTGTTGGGGCTTGTTTTTGTTTTTTTAATTAAATCTCTAACCTCTGTCCACGTAGCTTGCTAGCTACCTAGCCACCTAGCTCGCTAAGTAGCCCGCGGTGTAGCCTGCTAATTAGCCTACGGTGTAGCCCGCTAACTAGCCTGCTAATTAGCCAACGGTCTAGCCCGCTAAGTAGCCTGCTAACTAGCCATCGATCTACTGCTTCTACAGTATCTATCCATCCCTGTTTAATACGTTTTAAATGCCTTACCTTATTACACGTTTTCTTTTATTTATATTCCTTTTTCTTTGTTTCCAAATAGAGGCTCTTCTGTACATTAATGACTGACTTTGACACTCCCTAAAGTTAACACACACACACACAGTACATTCTAGAACATAGGGAATAAAGAGTGTGTTTGCCCCACTGTTGTTTGTCTGCAGTTCAAACCCAGGTTGTGTTTGCCACAGAGTGTGTGGTTTATATAATATTTATGTACTGTTTGCACGTCTGCCAAAACAGCCTGTAGCAAACAGGCTGTTATCCTACTATTTAAATATGCAAAGGAGACAAGCATTAGAGTAGAAGCACTAATACTGTGAAGGAATTCATTCCTCTGGCAGGTGAGTCAGATTATCCGGGTGTGGTTAAGGGCAGGTCGTATATTGTTGCAATGCAATGCATTGTTTTCGCAGCCAAAACAACAATGAACTGTGAACACAATCTGCTGTCGCACTATTACAAACACCGTCATGGCCATAAATAGGCCTCAGAGAGAAGGACAGTTATCTTACTGGTTTCTTCTTTGTCAATGAAAAATAGGGTAAATTATCGCAGGGATTATTATAATAAGAAAGAATGTGGTTTGATTTTTGTTGTTGTTGTTGTTGTTGTTGTTGCTGTTGTTACACTGTATTTTATGATTAATGTTGGTGAGAACAGAGTGTGTACCAGACTCATACTTGGAGGATGTTCCACCACTTGTTCCACCACTTGTTCCACCACAGGCTTTGTAACTACATTTCCCAGCATGCACTGCATCACCATATTCACAAGCATAATTTTTTGTATTTATTGTATTGTGCCTTATTAGGTTTAAGCATAATGCTATTTATTGTATTGTGCCTTATTAGGTTATACAGAGCAAACAGGAGTGTATGAAGTACTGTATGTTCACTCTATATAATGATCATATATTTGACATTTTGAATGTAGCGAGATAGCTTTTCACATATTTTTGACTTTTTGTTGTTTGGTTTTATTTACATAAGATAATAATTAATTGCTGTAAAAGAGTCTGGTCAGTTTCTATGGTTCTACAAAATAAGAATTTAAACCCACGTATTAGTTCACATTACAGGTCTCTGTGCCTCTGTCCTGAACAGTCTGTAAGAAGATTTACTGTGTGCGCAAGAAATACCGCCGCTCTTACATAACTTAAGTCCTTGGCGCCAGAAGCCCACTTACCATTTAAAGCCGTAGCTGAGAAACATGAATCAAACCATATTTTACGGGGCGGTTTTGTTTCATTATTTTTATTAAATTATAACAGTGAAGATGAAATACTCCAATTGGTCATGCAGCTCTTCTCCCCCTGCTGGAGGAGTTGGTTGTTGTGTTTCCAGGTCTTGGCTTTCCTCTGTTCTTTTCTCTTTTTTTATTTGGTATGTCATAAAAGAGGACAGTTACAAAACATTTATGATGAAAGAGTGATTAAACACGGCTCTTTTGTGCGCGCCGGGCTCCAGCTGAGATCAACTTCAAAAGGGCAGTCTTGAAGGAATGCATTCAAAAAGGAGTGACCTTCGGTCGTCAGGGGCAACCACCAT